TCTCAGCCTGTCCCAGGCTGCCAACAGGCCTGGCTGAGCAGCACCGTGTGTCCCTCTGTGTGCCCAATGGCCTCGGGTGCTGTCCACCTGCTCTCCCCTCCACCTGCCCCTTGCCCTCCACTGTGACAGCCTTGTGCCCACCATCTGCCCTACCACCTTCAGTGTCCCGGCCCCTCGATGGCCGTCTCACCTTCGCTCCTGGCCCACTCATGCTCCTTCACAGAAGGGTCTTCCGTCGCCGATCCCTCCATCTTCTCCAGGCATCCGTGGTTTTTCCCTCACAGTCTCGGGCCTGGAACCCTTACCTCCTGATCTCTTTTCTGCAAACATGCTTGTTGTCCCCTGTTGGACAGCACATCCTCCCTTCCCGGTGGGGGCTCTGGGAACCGTGTGGGCCCTCTGCAGCCCAGTGCGGTCTGGCTCCTGTGCTGTTGGGGCTGCACGGGCAGAAATCAGCTTCGGAGCGTGTCCCATCTTGTGCACACGATGCTGTGTGGGCTCAGACCTCAGTGCTCACCCCACTCCCTGCCCCAGCCTGACGTCTTTCTCTGCCTCTGAAGCATGCCCAGTTCTCTCAGCATTATAGGGCTGCCAATGTGACTGTGTTGCTGTCTGCTGGTTCCCCACATTCCCCTCACCCCCCACGGTCCCCACCGCTTCCAGGGTGGAGCCTGTGTTCCCAGCCCACTCAGGGCTCTCCTGCCTCGTCCTGCAGGGCCTGGCGCAGTGGGATTCACCCCGGTTCTGAGTGCGTTTTCCCACCTGCCACCCACTCCCCTCCTGAGGGTTCTTCCCACCCTCTCCCCTTATCACCCTCCTCCTTCCCCTGGAAAATGTTTCTGTTCAGGGTCAGTGTCATGGCAGCTTTTCTGGAAGAATTAAATGCTGCTTCTCCACATTCACACGCTGTCAGTTATGCACACGTTTATGTTCTGCCTTCCCCGTCCCCAGACCTTAGGACCTAGAGGACCTGATGTCTGATGGAAGGAAGAGGAGGTCTTGAAGCGTAAACAGCAGGCTCGGTGAAAGGGTGGGGAGAGCATGGTCAGGGCCTGGGCCGCCCGAGGGCAGGGCTACTTCTTCTCCAGGCCACAGGCACCTGCTCAGCTTGGCTTCCCTTCCACAGCTGGAGACCACGCTCCGAGAGAAGTCTCAGCAGCTCGAGGGCCTCCAGGAGATGAGAATCACTCTGGAAGAACAGTTAAAGAAGGAGGCTGCTGCTAAGGTGATGTTTGTGTTGGTGATTTCATGATGTAGTGCCACAAACCTGGGGTCACCTGTTGCTTGTTGACGGTGGCAGCTTGGAGCTGTGCCCTGAGGGCTGGCAGGGCTGGCGGCTTGCAGAGGGAAAAGGACCTTGTGATTCGGGTCGCCGGCTCCCGGGCCTGGCCCTCCAGGCTTATGGGCACACTTGGCACCATCCTCCCAGGCCCGTCCATGTGACCATCTCCCAGGGACGCACTGCTGGAGATCAGTCCAGCTAGGTTCCAAGTGCACGAGGCCAATTGTGGGGTGGGGGTCCTAGGTTGGGGCTCCGATCCCGAAAGATGAAAACACCGCGTACTGTCTCTTAAGGCTCCCGCGTGGTCCCATTGACATGCTTGTCTGCAGGGCAGACTGGAGGTCATGGGGGTCGCCTGGGGCACGCGCGTGCGCCCCTTTCCCCACAGATGCTAGATGGTGCTGGTTCCTAAAGTGTGCGTCCCTATTACTGTGCAACCTCTGATCCCAGCAGCTGCCTTTTGCTAACGGTGGTCCCCAGGCTACTGGGGGGAGGAGGGCACTGGGGCAGCTTTGGCACTTCGGCCATTTTAGGAGGACCTCAGACTGCGCAGTCGGCCCCGGGGGCTGCTGGGTTCCCTGCGGCTCTCCTCCTGGAGAGGCAGACCTCAGGTTCCCCGATCCCCAAAGTGATACAGATGTACGGCTCCTTGGCATTGATCCTCTTTCAAAACTTGTATCATAGGTGAGTGTGGAACAGCTGATGTTTGAAGAGAAGAACAAAGCTCAGAGGCTGCAGACAGAGCTGGACGTCAGCGAGCAAGTCCAGAGAGACTTCGTCAAGCTCTCTCAGACCCTTCAGGTGAGGACCGGCACCTGGGCCCGCTGCAGCCTCATGGCCGGCCCGTCTACGCCTCCCCCCTCCCCCCCAGGCCATCGATGAGGGAAGGCAAGTCCCGGCTGTCAATGTGAGGCCCTGGCAGGCCAGGCAACACTTACAGGGGTTCCTCTGTGTCCTGAAGCCCTGGAACCCCATTCCCTCTGTGGAGCGCCCTGTGTCCCTGCTCCTCACACCTCACCCCTGCCATCCAGGCTGTTCTCCCTATAGAGCCTCCCCTGGGTCCCTGAGTCTGGCTGTGGTGCTCCTGGGCCTGCCACCTGGGTACACTCGATGGACGTCAATGGGGTCAGGATGAGGCGCTAAACTCTGATGCTTGGGGTGGTTTCCTGACTTAGCTGTGGGGTCGGGGGTCAGGGGTCATCCACCCAGGGTCCCAGCCCTGACCCTGGGCCTGCAGCACAGCAGCCCTGGGAGGTGCCTGGTCTGGGGTGGGGGTGGGGGTGGGGGGTGGCTCACGGGCCCCATCCCCGTGAAACCAGAGTAAAGTCGGGGACCCCAGGTCGGGGGCACAGGCCATGACTCGGTGTTGCTCCCTAGGTGCAGCTGGAGCGGATCCGGCAGGCGGGCTCCCTGGAGCGGGTGCGGGCCATACTGAATGACACCAAGCTGACGGACATCAACCAGCTCCCTGAGACATGACCCCGTGCAGGACACTGGCCTGCACTCTGGGTTTTTAACTCCTCTTAGAGCAACATTAATTATTATTTAACTCGTAACTGAAGACGTCACAGAGGAAGCCTGGAGCGATGCTTGCTTCTGGTGGGAGAAGCACGTGTAGCGTGGGGCAGCCCAGCCAGGGGGACGTGCGTGGAAGGACTTTCCCACGGGGACACTGATGGCCAATGCTGGACTCCGCTGAGGTGGGGTCTGCCGGGTAACAGACAAAGTGCTGCTTTATCCAAGGTTTTCCTGCCTTTCGAGCAACAGCCCAATTGTGTTTGGAATGACAGTTTCTGTTCCTAGATGTTGGGAGAGAGCCTTTCCCTTTCTGTTGTCTGGAGTCAGCGGTGACCATGTTGGGCCAGCAGAAGGTGTCGTGTGCTGTACGAGTATTTTATATTAAAATATGAAGTCTGAGAGCAGGCGGCTGGCTAGGGATCCCGATGCTCGGCTCAGTGCGTCTGTCTTACCATTTTCCGTCGGGTTGGAGGCCCTTCCTTACGCCTAGACTCACCCGTCCAGGAGCTGAATGAATTGTGAGATGGGGGGTGGGGGTGGGGGGCTTTGGTGGAAGCAGAGGTTACAGGACAAGCACAAGAGACTGCATGGAAGCACTTTTTCTGCCCCCCCCCCCCCCCCCGGAGGTGTTCTGTGGCCCACATGTACCAGGGTGAAGCTGAACGGGCACGTCTACTCTTTTGAAAACTGTTTCAGTTTAGTTATTGGATCAGTGGAAAAGATAGTATTAATAAAACAAGCTATGTCTGACATCTAGAATAAACTCACAGACCTGCTCATTTCCACCTCTGGTCTGTGGGCCTGGGTGCCTTGTTTCCGAAGGGTCCAGGGCAGTAACGGGGAGGATAAGGCCTGGGAGGCTGGGACCTGGGTGTGGGGTGGGGACTGCCCTGTGCGGGCCCTGGGGCAACCCCGTCAGGGTTGGCACCAGGCTGCGGAGCTGTGAGCTCAGGCCCCTCCCCATTCCCACGACCTGAGCGGGGGGCCGGCTGCAAGCTCCCCTGTGTTGGGAAGCCCAGGGACATGGCTGGTGCTCACCCGCCACCTCACAGGGTTGTCCACAGAGCGGATATGGGAGCTCCTTGTGCAGGTGGCCCCAGGGCCGCACTGCAGGCTGCGAGGAGGAGCCACATGCAGGAAGTAGCCTCTGGCTCAGCCTTGGCACCTCAGTCCAGGCCTCGCGGCCCCGTGGGAGGGGCTGGCCTGCAGACAGCCCTGCCAGCTCCCCCAGGACATGAGCATGGCTGCGCATCACTCCGTGGGGCCTGTCGTAGTTTTCATCCAGGAGCACGAAGAGCAGATGCTAACCACACAACCGGTGCTCTAGGCCCACCGTGTGAGAAGCAAGCACACAGAGGGGTTTTAAACCAGATAAAGTGTTACTTGGTTTAGGGAGAGGATCCGGTCACCATGTCATTGGGATTTGTATTAATTCCAACAAATACCTTTCGGGACGACTAGCCCCAGGCGCTTCAGACCACCGTAGTGCCAGCACATCCAGGGTGAGTGCTCGCCTTCTGGGTGGAGCTCCCGGGGATCCTATGCCCACACGACACCCCACACCCCATCCTCTCCCTGCGACGGTGCCGGGGCTGGAAGACGGTGATGGGAACCAACTGCGCACAGGTGCACATAGGCTTCCTGGGGCTGAACTGTGGTGACGCTCCCCTCGGGGGAGCACTTCAGGGCTTTAGGCGTGATGGGAGGGGGCCCTGGGGTGGAGGGAAGAAGTGTCCCTGTGCTCACGTACTGTCTGGAGGCACGTGTTGGCGCACATCTGACACACCCTGTCACTCGGGCCTCCTTCCCGGTCCATCTTCCTGAGGCCCTACCTTCCCCATGCACGCTGGCGGGCGTGAGACACAACTGGACACCGAGGCTGAACCTGTGCCCGCAGGTGTCACGGCACAGCCGGCGCCGGTCGAGCAGGGCCAGGGGCGAGTATGCATCTAAGCATGTGTTAAGCAGTTGCTGCCTCCCTTGCTGTGGGGCCACCTCTCACTCCTAGGGTCGGTCTGCTGCAGCCCCGCGCCTGGCGCTGCCCCTGGGAAGTGCAGTGGTCGCTGTTGCTGGAGCATGGAGACGTGGCACGGATGGGCAGGGACAGGCGGTGCGCGACTGAAGGCTCAGGAGTTTTACCAGGTCCTGGGGCCTTGTGCACGCAGCCCTGCCCTCAGCTTGATCACAAGCACATTCCAACTTATGAGTAAAAACATTTATTCAATCCTTGTAAGACAAGTAGGAGAGATCACCAGGGCCAAGTTCATCGACGGCGCCCGTCGGCCCCTCCCCTTGTCCACTCCGCGGGCACCAGCTCCCTGCAGATCAGAAGTTGATGTGGTTTCGGATGTCATTAATCTGCTTCACCATCTCTCTTATGTGCTCGCCCCTGTAAGGCCACAGAGTCCCTCACTCAGGAACGCAGACCACGGATGAGCCCTTTCACTGATGCCCAAGGACGTCCACGTGTCTCAAACGCTCCATGGTGGCGCCCCTGCTGCAGGCTGTGCACGTGCTGCCCAGGAACCCCTCCACCCCGCCACCCTGTCCTGCATCGGCTCCTCCCGCTGTTCTCTGCCCTGATCCCTGCCCGAGGTGGCCCCACCCCAGGGCTCTGGGACCCGTGGACGGCGACCCTTACTCCTCCTTCAGGACGGACTGGATGCACTTGCGCTGGTAGGCGCTCAGGGTGATGGCGGGTTTCTGAGGGCTCAGCACCTTCTGCATCTTGCGCTGCTGGTAATCCTTCTTCATGGTGACCTCGGGTGTCAGAACACACGCACAGGGCTGCAGTGTGCTGCGCAGCGCCCTGCACCCCGGGACACCGCATGCCCCACACCCTGGGGCACCGCATGCTCCACCCCGGCACCTGGCCTACCTGCTTGATGGCATTGCCCAGGTGGCGCAGCTGCTCGGGAATCAGCTGCAGCTCCTTCTTCATGTCCCGCTCACTGTCAGAGAGAACCGGGAGCTGCGTGTGGAAGCGGTGCAGCACGGCCTTCATCCTGTGGCGGGAAGGGGGCGTCTCAGCCCAGGGTCCGTGGGGCAGCCCCACCGAGGCCTGTGTGCCTCACCGCCCCGCTCCTACCTGTTCATGAGATCCTCCTGTTTTTCCTTGGCTTCCTCGTATTTGTCAGCCAAGCGCTCCGCCATTTCCCGGAGACTTTTCCTGGTGGTAAAAAGCAAGGGGCTCTCGGGGTCCACCCGACAGCGAGGCCCAGGCGACCCCCATTCCCCCCTCGCCCCAGCTCTCACCTCTCCTCTCGGCAGTAACTGAGGTCTTCCAGTTGTTTCTTCTTCTGGTCACAGAGTAACTTGACCCTTGGGAACAGAGAGCATTCAGCCGCCGCTGGCCCGGCCAGTGTGCATCGCCGCCACTGTCCCCACCGCCGCTGCCCTACCTGCGCTGGATCTCCTCCTTGGCCAGGTCCTGCTTGAGGATGTACTGCTCCCGGAACACCTGCGTGGCTCTGCTGATGAGTTGCAGGCACTCCTCAGGGGGCGGGGCCATGTCTCTGTCCGCGGATCTGCAAGGACAGTGTCAAGTCCCAGGGCTCCTCCGGGCCATAACGCCATCACACCATCCCGCGGGCCCCTCTCCCCGCCGGGGTGGTTTATGGAAACAGAGGAGGGAACCCATTAAAACCCGGATGCCCCCAACCTCGTACTTCAGGAAGGCTGGGTTCGCAACGCTGCGTTGTAAAATGCTCCTGATGTGCTTTTCGAAGGAATCTGCGGTTTCGGCTAGAATGCGGAGGGGAGACTCCGCCGCTGCCGCGTCTTCCCGGGTACAGAGCAGGGGCGGGGACACCGGGTGGACTGTGCTTCTGCAAAACAGGCGTGACTCAAACCCCGTCAGAGGGTTGGGCCGTGCGCACTGCGATGCCTTGTCCACGCAGAGCCATGAGAACACACGGAAGTGCAGGACAAGACCACACGCACTCTTCCACGGGAAAGCCACCCCTGTTCTACTGATGCTATTTGTCGACACATCTTGGACGTGGTCTTTTCCAAAAAGAACCCGATTCGACAAAGGCAGCGCAGCCGTTTGCAGCACAAGCCCCCACGTCTCCCAGGAGCTCGCGGCGGTGGCGGAAGGATAAGGAGCGTGGGGGCCAGGAGGGGACTCACAGTAAGGGCCTGATGAGGCACTCGTAGGTGCTGGTGATGCACACCATCGTGGGCCCCAGGATGTCAGGCACAATCCAGAAGCCGCGGATGGGCGCCGGCTGCCTGCAACGACACGACCGCAGGGCTCATGTTGCCTGGGGACGCTCCCTGCAGGAGCACAGGGGTCGCACTGGGTGTCCAGGTCTCCCAGCGGCATCAGGGTGGGAGCCACAAGGGGCACAGCCCTGTCTCCCGGGAACCAGCAGCTGCTCCACATCAGGTCCAGGCGGCCACCAGGGCTCAGGAATGCATACCACACCTGAGGGTCCCCGGGCTTTGCTGAGGTGTTGGTTCCGCCCCACGAGGGGACCCCGGACCCGACAGCTTGCTGCTGCCCCACTGCCCCTCCCCAGCTCCCCCCTTCTTCCTGCTCCTCTCCCCCACCCTTCCAGCTGCCACCACACTCCTGGGGGGGAGCTGCGGCGAGGGGAGCCTGGGGGCAGGAAAACCTCCTGTTCTCAGCATGAAATCTGCACACGGAGGGGCGCACACTCCATGACCCACCAGCCTCCTCCAGGGTGACCTCCCTGCTCACCCGCTCCCCACCCCTACTCCCGCCCCAACCCTGGGGTAGCTGCAGTCCTTGGGTGGCGATCTGTTCCCTCACTCCTAGGAGACACATGTAACTTTACCTGCTTGAGAAACGTATGCAAATAGGATTTGTTACCTACTATCCCCATTCCTCCCTGCCCTGGAACCAGACTCTACCCTGACTCTTCGGGCTCTGAGGCAGGTCCAGCCTCTGAAACACCCGCCCCCAGGGGTCATGCTCCCCGTCCCCCACTGCTCCCCAAAGGGCTGCTCCAGACCCCACCTGTCCGCATCCTGTGCCCTCCCCACGTGCCCTCCCTGTAGTCCTGGCTCCCACTCCCACACCCACAGGCCGGAGTCTGCCCTTCCCCCTGGGCCCATTTGTCCAAAGGGCGTCACAGTCAGGCAGTCATCCCGCCTACAAAGCTGGCAGTCATTCTAGATGTTTCCCTTTAGTCACTGATTGTGCACCAACTCTTAGTCTCCATCAGAAACATGGACAACCCAGGAACCCCATGTGACCCAGAGCAGGAGAGCCTTCCATCAGACGGGACTCGGGGGAGCCCTAGCGCAAACTCAGAGTCACCAAAAAGACCGGGAGCTGGCAGGGTGATGGTGAGGCAGGGGCGCAGGACCTGAGACCTCACCTGCAGGGCAGCGGCTTGGTGCAGAGGATGTGCTCCACGAAGCACTTCTGCTCGGCAGCGAGCTCCTGCAGACTGTCCTTATCCTCCTCATCTGTAGGGAAAGGGGCAGGGGCGCAGGTGAGTGCGCAGACAGTAGTCCCCGTCCAGTCCCCTGTAGCTGGCCTGGCCAGGCGTGTGACACTCCGGCCTCCCTGCCCCGCTCAGCATCCTATAACGGGGCTCCCCCGTGCAGGATACAGTCCCAGCCCAGCTCCTGGCCAGCCTCATGCCCGCACACACCTGGCGGCATTGGGCCAGCTCCTGAAATGTGACTCTGGGTACATACAACCCAGCCTCAGGATGTGTGGTGCAAGGCGCTTACTAGATCACGGGACATGATGGCACCACCGCCACAGAAAACTCAGGCTTTTTATTTGGGGCGCCCGGGGGCTCAGGGGTTGAGCATCTGCCTTCGGCTCAGGTCATGATCCTGGGGGCTCTACCCGCGGTTGGGGTCCCTGCTCCATGGGGGTCTGCTTCTCCCTCTCCTTCAGCCACTCCCTGCCCCTTGTCCTCTCTCTGGCTCGCTCTGTTCACTCTCTCAATTACATTAAAAACCTTTAAAACAAAGTCTTTCCGTTACCCACAGGAAAGCCCCACGCCTGTGAGCAATCATTGAGCTCCACCAGTGGCCCGGCCCTGGCCCCTGTCCCATCCCCGACCCCCCAGCTCCCTCCTGGGCAGCTCAGGTTTGCAGTCACCCGACAGGGAGTGGGGACAGGGAGCGGTGACAGGGAGCTGTGGGGCGAGCCTCCCGTGCTGCAGCCTGAGCCCCACGTTGTCCCTTTCCACTGCTGGAGGTGACACGGTCAGATGGATGACCGCCTGATTATGGGGGACAGAGCCCGGCTGCTTGGCACCTGCTCATGGGTCTCGTAACCCGACGTGGGTCACCTGAGGACCGGCCCTAAGCATGACGCTGCTTTCCATGTCTGCGAGCCCTGTCCTGATGACACCGTCCTGTCAGTTCTCATTTCTGCCACATAAACAGGCACGTATTGGGCAGTTCCGTGATGTCTCCCTTCCGTGACTGATGACACGGAACATGCTGGCATGTGCTTACTAGCTGTTTGAACCTCCTCAAAGAAACAATGTCTACTCAAATCTTTGTCTGGTTTTTAAACGGGGTTCTGTGTTCACATATCTGAGTTCTGCAGGTGCCCTCCGTGCTCTAGCTCCAAGTCCACTGTCAGGTACGAGATTTACAGATGTCGATTGCCATCCTGTGGATTCCTTTCACTTTCCCAGCACCGTCCTCGCAGGGACGTCCGTGGTGTCTCTGACTCATTCTGCATCGTCCTCATGTTATGTGTGAGGACAGGGTTGTGACTTTTTTTTTTTTTAAAGACTTTATTTATTCATGAAAGAGAGGCAGAGACACAGGCAGAGGGAGAAGCAGGCTCCATGCAGGGAGCCCAACATGGGACTGATCCCAGGTCTCCAGGATCAGGCCCTGGGCTGAAGGTGGCGCTAAATCGCTAAGCCACCCGGGCTGCCCATCATCACTATTTCGATCTCTCCACTGGTTATAGGGCTAGTCTGACACAGCTTCCTCCTCAATCAGCATAGGGAATTTGCATCTCTAGGAGTCTGTCCCCATCATCCTGGTGCCAGGCGGTCACGGACACCTCGGTCCTGAGTCCCACTCTGGGGAGGGCGGCGGGGGTGCTTCCTCTGCCAGCCTCAACAGGAGGCGGCTGAGTCGTGTCTTTCAGTTCTTGGTCAGTCTGGCCTAAGGTCTTTCAATTTTCTCAATTTTTTCAAAGAACCATCTTTTGATTTCATTGGTTTTTCTCTATTATTTTTGTTCCAAACTTTTATTTGAGATGGAGAAAGAGAGAGTATGTGTGCATGTGCTGGGGGGACAGGGTGGGGCAGAAGAAGAATCTTGAGCAGAACCCACGCCCAGCACAGAGCCTGACCCAGGGCTCAATCCCACGACCCTGAGATCACAACCTGGGCTGAAATAAGAATCTGATGCTTAATGGACTGAGCCAGCCTGATTCCCCAATTCCAAACTATATTTTGGGAGAATCGGTGAAACATATGGAAAAGCTCAACTCACCTGACCCAAGGAACTTGTGAAGTTTATGAATCCAAGTAAGCCCAACACTGTGTACACCGGCTTCATGAGTACAGTGGTATCTTGAGGGGCACTTGGGATCTGCAAACGGAATCACGCACAATACCCAGGTCACAGTCAGAAGACGGACATCTGCCCCAGCAGCCCACAAACATCTGCGACAAAAGCAATAGAAGGTCTATGGGACCTTCGTGCTGTGGGCCTGTGTCAGGGGGTTTTGAAACTTTAAAATCTGAATTTGATTTTCAAATCTATTGTAACTATTTTTAAAAGTAATAAACACAACTCAAACGTTACTTCCCAACAGTAAGAGTTCACCGATACAGAAATACTTGCTGCCTTTCTGTCCATCTCGGTGCATTTATTTACAGTTCTTCAAAATAAAACGGTGCCTAAGAAAGGTTCCAGCTCTGGAGACACATAGATGCACACACATCCCTCCTGAGAACCTGGTCAAGTAAGTCAAAGGTCCTGAGGACAAGCGCTGAGCGGACAGTCCCGTCGCTGCATCTGGGTGCAGGTGGAATTTTACCTTTAGTTTTAGATTTGAATTCTTTTTTTTCCTCTTAAGTAAGCCTTACTCCCAGCATGGGGCCTGACCTCACAACCCTGAGGTTGAGTCATATCTCCTTCAAATGAGCCAGCCGGGCGCCCCAAGTAAATGTTGGTGGGTTTTTAAATACAATTCTTGTTTGACAATTCTTTATATTTACTTATCTATTTTAGAGAGCACAGGTGCACACGTGCAAGGGAGAGTTAGGGGGTGGGAGGAGGGAGAGAATCCCAAACTGACCCCCCACCAAGCAGGGAGCCTGACGCAGGGCTCAATCCCAGGACCCAGAGATCATGACCTGAGCTGAAACCAAGAGTCAGATGTTCAATTGACTGAGCCACCCCGGCACCCAGAGGATCCTCTATCTTTATACTCAGAAATATGAGGAACCGTTAAATAATTTCAGTGAAAACTTCTTCCGAGATCTAGCACCAGTAAGACTCCCTGGGACTGAATATTCACTGCTATGATTCAGTAGTTTCAATACACCACACAACTAAAACAGATACAGAAACAATTTACATGCTAAAGCTGACTTAAGATGCAACCCTCAGGGAGCCCAGCTGACTCCAAGGGAGCAGCATACTGGGGTTGTGAGTTCAAGCCCCCTGTTGGGTGCAGAGATGACTTCAAAATAAAATCTTAAAAAAAATTTTGGGGGGCACTTGGGTGGCTCCACGGTTGAGCATTTGCCTTCAGCCCAGGTTGTGACCCTGGGGTCCTGGGATCGAGTCCTGCATCGGGCTCCCCGCAGCGAGTCAGCTTCTCCCTCTGCCTGTGTCTCTGCCTCTCTCATGAAGAAATAAAATCTTGGGAAAAAAAAAAAAAGATTTCCCAAAGACCTGTTCTCTTTCTCAGGAGACCTTACCCTTTGGTCTCAGCGTCCTAGGCTGTAAAGTTCTGACACTTACACTCAGACTCCCTCTCGACTCCAGACGTGCCCCACGAGCACCGCTGTCATGCTCCCTGCATAAGAGCCCTCCTCCTAAGATGCACGCTCTGCAGAGCTGAGCCAGATCCTCCTGCAGGCTGGCCCAGGGGCGGCGAGCAGAGGCCAGGCAGCCACAGACTGAGTGCCTGTCTCGGCACCCGGCCCAGGAAACCGAGAGGAAACGGCAAGAAGCGGTGCAAGGGCAGTGGAATCGAGGGGCTCAATGTCAGAGGGACTGCAGAGGTCATCTCATGTCATCCCGGCCATTTCCACAGGTTGACCCCACATTGACTGATGTCAGAACCATGCCCCCAGTTCAGGGGGCGGTAGACCCCCTGCACTGAGCCCCTCGGTGTCCCAATGGCACAGGCTACCAGGGGCTCGGCATTCTACCCAAAAGCTCCCCAGACGAACACAGAAGGTGCTGGAAAGACCCAGTTCCAACCCAAGTAAGTTAAAAGAAAAAAAAGATTAAAATGACAGCATTCAAACCCAGTCTGGGAGTAATAAGAGGCTATGATGTTTCTAAAGTGAAGAAAAAGGCTTTAAAGTGATTATCTTGAAGCGTATTATCATTTGATTTTCAAAGTTCCTTTTAAAGTTTGTTACAGTTCGCGTACATTTAGGTACTTGGATCATGAAATTGGCTCAGGACTGGACCGGGAACATTCCCTGTTCTCCATGGGGGCGGATCTGGCCACAAAGCCTGGAACCGCAGGGCAAAGTGCCGGGAAGGGCATGTGACCACGTCAGCGCAGGAACGTTACCTCTGTGAAGTTTGATTGGACAAGAGAAGTCTGAGTCACAGGGCTCGTCGTCTCCGGCCGCCAGGGTCAGGGCGAGCTCCAGCTCCACGCACTCGAACACGTACAGGGAAGGGATGACGTCAGCCCTGGAGTCCCAGGACTTCTCTGACTGTGGAAGGAGCACGGCCACCTCAGCCCTCACACCCCGCAGCCCAGCCTACCCATTCTTGGTGTTCCTGGAGGAGGAGCGAGGCCTCCCTTCCTCCTGGCACGTCAGTGATTCACCAGAGCCAACTCCATGACTGCAGGGCCCCTGTGTGTCCCCAGGATCCCTGGGGCTTCACGGCTAGGAGCCGGGCTCACCACTTGGTCGTCCTCTTCCTCCCCCTCCAGCACGACGCAGTGATACAGCATTCCCGATTCAGTGGCGATCACCAAGATGTTGGGGACGCAAGGCAGGCAGAGGATGGCGCATGCGTCATAGCCATAGTTGTCCTCAGCTGCAGGGTGCATGGGCAACGGGCCCAGCAGCTTTCCGACTGTCCCCGGGCTGAGGGAGACAGGGACATTGTGGCAGGCACAGCTGGAGGAGAGAAGGCCATCGCCCCAGCCTGCGCGTATTCTGTGGGTGACCCGCCTCGACCGTGATCCCAAAGCCTGATGCCCTGACGTCTGCACACCTTCCCACTCAGCTCTCCCCTCCAGTGCTTCTCAACTGCACGTAACCTCGAAGGGCCACGGACAACATCTAACAACATTCTTGGTGGTTGTGATGGGGATGGGAGGATGCTTACTAGTGCTCACTAGTGCGCAGGGCCTGAACTCTCCCCACAGCACAGCCCTCAACCCGGACTCCTCAGCTCAAAACCTCACTAGCCTGGAGGCTGAGATACCAGTTCGTCCGTCATCACTGCCCCAAAGCTATCTGCCAACTAGGTCCCAGCGGGGCCCATGCAGCTACACCCACAGCCGCATAGCTGCCCTGCCGCTGCCTGTCCCTTGGGGTAGTGGCAACTGTCCCCACCCCGCAACCCCCGCGGCTCTGGCTCCCCGAGCACACCTCTCTTGCCTTCTGTCTCAGGAGTCCGGTGCACCCCAGGATCTTGTCACAGACCCTATCCCCCCACCACTGCATGCGGATAAGAACACACTGGACTAGGCCCGCTTCAACCACTGCCCAGACTCTGTGTTTTCTTGGGAAACGTAGCATCTGTTTGGGGCTTCAGACCCAATGTTTAGTGGACACTGAGTGCTGGGTGACCCCCAAGGGACAGAGATTCAGCTGGGGAAGCAGGTGTGTGCTGAACACGATAACGCAGGGCTTTCAACACACAAAGGAACACTCACAGGCACAAAGTGAGGCAAGGGGGCGCCTGGGGCACAGTCAGCTCAGGGTCCGACTCTTGGTTTCAGCTCAGGTCATGATCTGAGGGTTGTGAGATTGAGCCCCACATCGGGCTCCATGCTCAGCACAGTCAGAGACTTTCCCTCTCCCCCTCCTGCTCATGTGCCCTCTCTAAAATAAACAAATAAATCTTAAAAGAAAGTGAGCTAAGAAAGGTACCAAAAATAAGTAAGATCAATGGGAAAGGGTACATTCTGGGAGGAGGTTCTCAACACTGCAAGCTCTAAAAAGTTCTGGAAGCATGAAGATAGGGACCAACAAGAAGGAAACCCAGCTCTGTCAATGGGAGGCAATGCACACAGTCCAGGAGTTCAGGACTGGCAGTGGGAGCGGCCATCTCAGGAGCTACAGTCAGGTGCTCAGACTCCCCCTGCTGGGTGACTGTGTCATCAGGATGAGTGTGACAGAGCAAGTGCAGCCAAGGGGGGGACGACAGGGGGCCAGGGCCGCTGGTGGAGAGAGGCAGGGTCTAGGCAGAAGATGACAAGGGTGTGAAGCAAGGATAAGGGGCCGGGGAATGAGGGGGCTTGCATTCAAGGAATTTTCAGGCTAAGACCCATAAATCTGGGATAGGGCTGGATGTAAGAGAATGCAGATGATGAGTTTCAGGTTCTGGGCTAAGGCGACAGGGCAAGGAGAGGCTGACAGTGTCAGCATGGACACACACTGCCCCCAGGGGGGTCATGTGTGGACAGTGAGAACACCCGGGCCAAGGAGAGTCCAATAGGAGAGGTCTTCACGACCCTGCACACCCTCCAGTCCCTCCGGAGCCACTTCCTCCCCGGATGCGGCCGCGGGTCCTTGGGTCCAAGCTTCCGTGTTCCCAGCCAGGCCAGCGTTCCGCCACCTACTCCCCAGCCCGTCCCTCCCACCCTGCTACCCCCGCCCCCCCCGCTGCCCCCCACCCACTGCAGGACTGCGGGGGGACAGGAGCCACAGGCCGGCCCAGGTTACCACTCATCCACATGGCTCGGGAGTGAACGGCAGTGTTCAGCCTTGGTCTGGTCAAACCTGCCCTGATTCTTACCCTCCCGCCTCTCACCGCAACAGGTGAGCTTCCTGGTCCTCACTTCACCGTCCACCTCCACCCCGGGCCCGCATGCCCCCTCCTGCCCCACACTGACCCCCCGCAACCACCCTGGGTCTGTGCCGGGGTTTGGACCCCACCCTGCGGGCAGCACCTCTGCTGCCAATGGCCCCATGCGGGCAGGAGCGGCTTTCATCATTCCCCCAGCTCAGCCCTAACGCACCCCCCACCCCTATCAGAAGCCATCACCGTGTCCCCCTGCCTGCAACTGTGGGTTTAACACCACCAGATCTTCTCCAGAAGCTCCTTCCACCTTCATCGTCTGACGGCAGTACCTGAGGCTGCTGTTCCTGCCCCGGGTGTCTCCTCACTGAGCCAATACCCCAGGACACGCCCTGGGGCTGGTGTGCTTGCCCCTCCCTGGCCCTCAACCCTGCAATCCTGTGTGAGACACAAGTCTGTCTCTTCAAAAACGCCCTGCCTTCTTTATGGGGATCTAGCTCTCCTTCCTCGGAGCTCCTATGATCTCTGTGCCACTAAATGTGTCCCTTCACGTGCACACACGTCTTTTCTGCACAACTGGGACTTACAACACCAGACTACCGGGTGTGACCATACCCTTGTGCCCCATTCACGTCAGATGCACGACAGTTCTGTGCTTCACTACGAGGAAATCATAGGTCAAATGATCGGTGCCAGGCTTTCTCCAAAATACGCACACCGAGCACTGCCAGGTGGCCACATATCTGTACACCGCAACCACGGACCCCAGATCCCCCGTGATGGTGTGCGGCTGGCCGCCCCTCCACTCACCTGTGAGCCAGACTGAGGTACGTGAGGAAGGTTTCCCCGTTCTCATACAAGATGTACAACGGGTGCGCCACGACATCCCCTTTGCCTTTCTGCCCAAACATGCTCTTCGAGACTGCCGACAGTGGCCCAAAGTCAAATGCAACTGCTGTCTCCCCCAGCGATGCAGTATACGCTCTTCTGGAAAGACATTTAAAAATCAGCTGGTTGAAAACAAGAATGTAAACAAAAGGTCCAATAACAGGGAGTGGGGATGGAACCACACAGCGTGGCTTCAACCTTGAGCAGCTTAAATTCACACACACAGTAGTAACACAGAGATGCATGAACACAAAAGGGAAGGAGGGGCACCTGGGTAGCTCAGTGGTTGAGCATCTGCCTTCAGCTCAGGGTGTGACCCCGGGGTCCTGGGATCAAGTCCTACATTGGGTTCCCCACAGGGAGCCTGTTTCTCCCTCTGCCTGTATCTCTGCCTCTCTCCCTGTGTCTCTCATGAATAAATAAATAACATCTTTGCAAAAAAAAAAGGGGGGAAGGAAACACGAAACCCTGTTGAGTGGAGGACATGGTCCTTGCACAAGCAGTCACTGAGCACCTGCCCTTGCTGGGCACTGCCACAGGACCTCTGAACATGGTGAGGTCCACGTGGGCCTGACCACATGAGTGAAGGATGTGGGGAAGACAAACGAAGCGTGTTTGGGAGCATGTCAAGGCATGCATGCCAACCAGGTAGCCTGGAAAGGACCCTGCCACGGTGAGGTCTGAGCACAGATCCCAGGAAGACAAGAGTGTGCCCGTGCTCACGCAGGAAAGCCAACGTGCAAAGGCTCTGCGTGCACCCAGGCGGGTGCTGTCAGAGGTTGAAGAATGAGGAGGCCGAGGTGGCCGAGCTCAAAGCCAGGGCACAGACGGTGGCAGGAGGGGCCGTCGAGGGGCGGGCAGGGCAGTCCCGGGTGGGGGGTTCTGGGGGGTGGTAGAGACTCCCGGCAATCAGTGCGGTTGGGGCAGCAGGGACACAGAACAACCTGCTTTACACCCAAAGTGGGAGGAGAGACTAGAGATCACAAAAGATCTCATTTTCTCCTCAATGTTTTTCTGTAGATATTCCTAATTTTCTGTAATAAATACGTACTATCTTTTAATCAAGAAAATCAACTGATACAACAATCCGTCTTTGTATTTTGCAGTTTACTATAACTAGTTATCCAAAAAGATTCCAGTTCAATATAAGGTTAACAATAAACACGGCTAAGATACAATGTTCTACAGCTGCTAAGAGTCAGCAAGTCCCACTGTGTCAGGAACACAGCTCAGCTCGTTGATCATGTGGGAAGGTGAATCAGAATCAAAGGACTGCCTGGGTGGGTCAACAGGCAGAGGTCAGACTTCAGTGACCCGGGAACCCCCTACGTACATGCTCCTGGGCCCTATTTCGTATTCTCGAAAGGCGCAGTCATGGAAACAAGGCTCTGCTGCCCAGACACTGCTGCCACACCAGAGCAGCGGCCGGATCCGGCTGAACAAGCCGCCTGCTCCACCGCGGCCCATCCATACCCCATGTCTGTCGTGGGGACCAGGAGCTTCGCAAACATACCGCAGGGGAGGGGCCCTGACTCCAGACACACGGCTCGGCTCCTGGGCAGCTCCAGCGGTGGCCACTCCCCACGTGGGGTGCTAGGACACTGACATCCAGGCACAGGGTGGGCGAGGCCCATCAGGAGGCCTGAGGACGGGGCTGGAGAGTTCCAAGGGTGATTCTGTCAATGGTAAGAGGAGCCAGGGCCTCACTGAGGAGGGTAAGAAACCATAAAGGGAGCTGGGCCCGGGAGGAGCAGCAGGGCTATCTCTGTGCCATGGCGGGCTCTGCAGATGGACAGCCTGGGATGTGCACGGTCTGCCCAACGCTCACCCTGAACCTCTGAAATGTCCTAACTTAGTCCCTTATCCACAGTCCCACAGGGTGTCTGTTTCATGCTACTTATTACAGTGACTTCAGCACATTGCCTGCTTTCGCTCACTGCTCACACCATGGAGAGCTTGCTGGTTGGCGATGAATAAACTAATGAGAAAAACTCTTCAGGACACAAATAACAACTTACCCTTTATTGAGTATCAGGCTTTCCTCTTCCGCTTCTGAAAGCACGATGACCCTGGTGGGTGTCTGAGGCTCACGCAGAGAGTAAATCCTAGCAAGCAAGAGGAGAGACTGCACTTAGGATTCCTTCATTTTGCAACTGCCCTTCTCTCCGTGTAATCATGGCTTGAGCCACTGCCTACGGGTTTCACATCCATTTGTTTGTGGAGTAGCCCACTACATCTGTTCTCTCACAACAACCAAGCAGGGTGTCTGTGTGACATCCAGAAACACTCTCTATCGTTTCCAACGTCCTCACTGGCCTGCTGCACATTGTGCCCCTGTCTCTCCCTTCCTAGGCCCCTGGGCACCCATGTGCCATCCAGGTGCCACCCAACTGCCTGTCTCTGCCCCCTGCCCACTGAACCTCATCAGAGAGGAGCACATCTCAACGCTTTATACACCCACTGGCCACAGAGAGTAGATCATTCAGCCTCTAGTCTACACATGCTACTGTTACACAAAGACACATCATGTCACCCCTACTTTCCCAAACTGCAAAGTTTTTTGTTTTTACCAAAATCATTTAAAATAAAATTTCACAGTACATGTGGCTACAGTTAAACAGTTTTCAAAAGGCCAATAATATTATTAGCAATCCAACATCAGTTATAAAGTTATATAGTTATATAACAGTTATAAAGTCCTCATCAATCATTAATCACTTACTTTGACTACCCTCAAGTTTTAAACTTTGTTCCATTACCAGTAAAATGCCATTTAATACATGTTTTAAATGAAAACGTGATCCAGGGGATCCCTGGGTGGCTCAGCGGTTTGGGGCCTGCCTTTGGCCCAGGGCGCAATCCTGGAGTCCCGGGATCGAGTCCCGCATCGGGCTCCCAGCATAGAGCCTGCTTCTCCCTTGACCTGTGTCTCTGCCCCTCTTTCTCTCTCTCTATCATAAATAAGGAAGGAAGGAAGGAAGGAAGGAAGGAAGGAAGGAAGGAAGGAAGGAAAGAAGGAAAGGAAAGAAAGAAAAAAAAGAGAAGAGAAGAGAAGAGAAGAGAAAGAAAAGAAAAGAAAAGAAAAGAAAAGAAAAGAAAAGAAAAGAAAAGAAAAGAAAAGAAAGAAAACATGATCCAACTGAACACATATACACACACACTGTGGTCTTTCTGGCTGCCTGCAAGCACTACTGACTTTAAACCTCATGTAAGAACCAGACAGGATGCATTGTAATTGTCAACAGGGTCCAGAGCTTCGGAGAAGAGAAGTGACAAATACCTTATATTTATTTTTTACGTTCTTTTTTAGAGAACAGGGGGTGGAGGCGGGGGGGGGGGGCAGAGGGAGAGAATTTTGAGCAGACTCCACACCCAGCATCCAGACCACAGGGCTCGATCCCACAACCCTGAGATCACAACCTGATCTGAAATTAAGAGTCGGAGGCTTAACCAACTGAGCCACCCAGGGGTCCCAAATACCCCATTTTTAAAAAAGAACCTTCAACATTTGAGACCAGATACCTCCTTTCAGGTGTAAGATCTCAGCCTGTGGGAGGGGCGCCTGGGGGACTTAGTGAAGCGTCTACCTTCAGCTCAGGTCCAGATCCCGGGATCGAGTCCTGCATCAGGCTTCCTGCTCAGCGGGGAGTCTGCTTCTCCCTCTCCCTCCGCTCCTTCTGAGCACACATTCTCTCTCAAATAAATATATCTTAAACCCAAAAACCTAAGACCAGGAGGGGCAGGCATCAGGAGTCCTTCCATGTACAGCATAGCCTCTGTGGCGGGAGAGCATCCCTTTCCTTCTTTGGCCCCAAGTCCAAAGCCAAATGGGTGGGAGACACTCAGGCAGATTTAGAGGCGTCCTGGCGAATGCCAGCCATGGTGCAGGAAACCAGAGGCACCCAAGGGAAGGGAGCTCTTGAGTGAACCTGATGAGCCACACCCTAGGGTTGGGAGCATGTGAATATGCTACACTGTATCTGCTTCTCAGAGGAAACTTCTTTTTATTTATTTTTAAGATTTTATTTATTTATTCATGAGAGACACACACAGAGAGAGGCAGAGACACAGGAAGAGGGAGAAACAGGCTCCATGCAGGAAGCCCAACACGGGACTTGATCCCGGGTCTCCAGGATCATGCCCTGGGCTGAAGGCAGGTGCTAAACCACTGAGCAACCCAGGCATCCCTCATAGGAAACTTCTAATGGAGGTGGGCTGGAATGGTGTAAGAAAGGACCATGGAGGGCAGCCCCAGTGGTGCAGCGGTTTAGCACCGCCTGCAGCCCGGGGTGTGATCCTGGAGACCTGGGATTGAGTCCCACATCGGGCTCCCTGCATGGAGCCTGCTTCTCCCTCTGCCTCTCTGTGTCTCTCGAAAGAAAAGAAAAGAAAAGAAAAGAAAAGAAAAGAAAAGAAAAGAAAAGAAAAGAAAAGAAAAGAAAAGAAAAGAAAAGAAAAGAAAAGAAAAGAAAAGAAAAGGAAAGGAAAAGAAGGAAGGAAGGAAGGAAGGAAGGAAGGAAGGAAGGAAGGAAGGAAGGAAGGAAGGAAGGAAGGAAGAACCATGGAACAGATACCCGGGTGATCCTCGGAGGGCAGAGGAGAGGACGCTGGAATCATCACAACTCCACAGGAAAGACCACAATGGCTGCATCGCGAGTGCGAGGATACTCCATCCCGACAAGGGCCCAGGGCTCTCAAGGTGCCATACAGAAACAAGAGCCAGAGCAGATCGTGCCCTCTCCACTTGAATCACGCCCACCAGCGTCCGGTCTGTGTGACCAGCCGGGACTCAGAGCTGGGACGGACTGGACATCAGTGTTTTAAACTGGACACACCAAATTTTAATAACTACAAGTCAGCAGACAGCTATGAGATTATGTAAAAGGCCAGGAAGGGCAAAGTGCTCAGCAGAGGAGGAGAATCTAGTAGAGCACAGTTAAAAGCAGTGATTAGGAAAAATAAAATGATCTTTACCTCTGCCGAGTCTCCCCAATAAACGTTTAATGTATGGCAGGTCTAGGACGATAACTAATTATATTACAGAAATCTCTGCAGATTAAGGACATTTCATCATAGAGTCCAAAACCTGTCAGATTAAACTGGCTCATTTTACAAAATTGGAAACTGAGGCCCCCTAAAGTTTAATATCCCCAGGACAGAAGGGGCACTGGGACAAGAATTCACACCTGAACTCCCAGTTATACTCTCACCTTCTTATGTTGCATCGCCTCCAGAAGAGCAACAGGACGAGAGGGGCTCTCTCAGGAAGGTCAGGGAAGGAGGGGTAGGAGGCCTGGCTGAGGGGACAAGCAGTAACGAAGGCATCTGAGGCCAGTCATATGGGCAGCTCTGCCTCAGTGGTTACAACAGCTCTGAGACACAGTAAGCTGACACCCGGTGACCCGTCCAGGGGTGCCCTGGGCTGGCAGCCAGCAAACAGGACCACAGACTTCCCTGCACAAAGCTACAAGAGTTAAAAACATGCTTTACCTTATTACATTGTCTGATGTTAAGAGCACAATGTGGGGATCCAGCAGCTCACTTGGGTACCAGGCCGCATGCTTCAGAGTCAGAGAAGTAGAACTGGTGAAAAATCTCTCAGCGATGGGAGTGGTACTAAAATAAAAATAACAGTTTTTTCAAAACATTTGGTAGAATGTGGATGAAAAACCTTCTAAGGTAAAATCTATTTTAACATTCTTTGCTCTTCAAATTTCTTTCTCTCAAATCTTGCTGAGAAGAGCACTCAGAGCATCTGTTGCATCGGTATCAGTGAGGATCAAAATAAAAACATTTTCTAAGTCGCAGAGTATATTATACTTTATAAGTGACTCAGATTTCCTAACTGACTTGATCCCTTTAGTGACCTGGTAAGAGAATGACAGGGTAAATATTACCCCTCTGATTGTGCAAATGAGGAAACAGATATGGGAAAGGGAACGTTGTGGAGCTAAAGGTGGTTTCTACCTTATACTCTTTCGAACAGATCTTTCAGACTCTCACTTTTCGGGATTTGTTGAAAAAGATAAAAAAAAAAATCTAACTTAGTTAAACAGATCATCTGCCTCACAGGGTAACCACTTTTCAAAAGTTATCATATCTCTGCCCACGTGGACGAGCTGAACTGCGGTGAGCCAGCAATGGGCAGAATCGCATGGGTCTATACACAGGACAGCCGAAAGCCCACGTGTAGACCAGTTGGGGACCCGTGGTATTGGAGCAGCAGCACAGAAAATGCAGCATGAAAACCACGGGTCTGGAACAACTGTCCATATGTATCACAAACTAGACCAACACTCAGTGGAAACACAACTTACCTACAGTTCACTGCTAATTTTCCACCTTCAAATTCTGAATTCTTCCCCCATCTTTTAGGTAGTTCTAACACCATGAGGCCTTTTATTCCTATAAGTGCTACATGATGCTGTGTTGGACTTAACAGGACTTGATAGATTTCAAACAGGGGCGGATTTATGCAGAGCAATCTCTGGAAATGAAAGCAAACTGGTCAAGATGGTTCATTTCAATGTAAATATACGTGGCAGGCACTTGAAGGCCCTAGCATTACAGTGCAGTTTGTACAGTAACTGAAGCAGGCCCGGCTTTACTTGCCCATCTGTGCCCGTAACTGCAAAGCAATGAAGCCTTTTGGGTAATTATGTGCTAACGCTGTGGCTATTCACCGATGGGGTATTTTTAACCACTGACTGGAATGTAACAGAAAACACATCAGATCCCCCCCTCCCTTTTTTTAGATTTCCCTATCTTAAAAATAAATAGTACCCATAATTTCCCTTTCCATGACTGAACTCCAGTCCGCCCCCGACAGCCTCCACACACCACCAGGCCAGCTGTGTCTCCACGAAGCCATCACACTCCGTGAGCCTGTGTCTCTCGACAGCTCTTCCTTCTCCTGTTGTGGCTGGCTGTCATGGTCCGGGAGACCGCCTAAGCAATCACCCCAATCTTCCGGCCAGGTGTGCATGCATCTTCTCTACACTCTGGATAATTCTATCATGGTTCTTACCACCTTGCATTCTGGTCATCCTTTCAGTTGACCATCCTGCACAACTGTGAGATCTGAGTCTTCCTCTCTCACCCTCAGCATAGTATGTGGCATCCTGCTGACTCTCAATAAGTTTTAGTGAAGCGAGAAGTGAAGAACTCAGAAGTGTTCATAAATGGCAGCTGAGATGCTACATTAGAGAAACAGCCCAGTTGGGGATCCCTGGGTGGCTCAGTGGTTTGGCACCTGCCTTCGGCCCAGGGTGTGATCCTGGAGTCCCAGGATTGAGTTCCGCATCGGGCTCCCTGCATGGAGCCTGCTTCTCCCTCTGCCTCTGTCTCTGCCTGTGTCTGCCATGAGTAAATAAATAAAATCTTGGGGAAAAAAAAAAAAAAGGAAAAAAGAAACAGTCCAGCAGGACAGGGAACAGCCTCAAGAGCTTCTGCGGCCAGTGAAACGCTGCTGTACCCACGCAGCTGCACCATGGAGTGGTGGCATTTTCGGGGGTTCTGATAAGCCGCTTTCTCAGCGTTACCAGCCCTCGGAACAACGTACTTCTCACAGGCTTGTCCTGCTTCTCTCCTGACCACCACATCACCATCTTCTGTCTTTTCCACTTTTCCCAACACACCACGAGACAGCCAACGTATCTCATCCTCACCCTCAGCCAGGAACTTTTTAGACAAGACCATTCTGAACACCCTGAGATCTCCGCTGCTTGGCACCGAGCTCTGTAAGCCTACCCTTCACCCGTTCCTTTTTTTTTTTTTTTAAAGAGTTTATTTATTCATGAGAGACACAGAGAGAGAGAGGCAGAGACACAGGCAGAGGGAGAAGCAGGCTCCATGCAGGGAGCCCAATCTGGGACTCGATCCCAGGACCGCGGGATCACGACCTGAGCCAAAGACAGATGCTCAACTGTTGAGCCACCCAGGTGACTGTCCCTTCACCCATTCCAACCAAAAGGTTGTTCTCCCATCAGAGATTCTTTTTTTCCCCTGGCTTCTCAATCCCCATCCTCTCCTGCTTTATTTACAACCCAAACAGCTGAGATCAAGTGTGGTAATTACAGGGCTTAGGTGGTTTTGTTTCTAAAGTCACTATTCTTTTGTTACTATTTAAAATTGCAACTCCTGCTAAGCACTTTCCCACCTGACAGTCCTTTAGGATTTCCTGAGAGCACCCAGTGAAGGAGGGGGGATACAAAAATAACAAAGAAAGACAGCCCCCCCCCGCCCACCATGGTTCCAGTGTAGAAAAGAAGACAAGTATGAATCAATTTAGTCTTGCCTGCTCCAAATGCTGCTAACACAGTGTGCTGAACATGAGAATTACTCTCCTAAGCCACAATTTGACAGAAAGTAGATTGTTGACTTGTGACCTGTTTTCAAAACTGCAGAAACACAGCTAGCAAAAGCCGATCATTTCTCCTTTACAAGATTCGGCAAGTGGCTCACAACAGATGCCCTGCATTAGGATGGGGGGTGGGGGCACCTTTTTATCTTTTAGTCCTTTAAAAGGCCAGAATCCATTTATTACAAGTACACATTTCCTTAGAACAACGTTCCGCTGCAGCAAGTCTGGAATGCTTTCTGTCTACACCGCTTTCAGATGCTAGCAGCTAATCAAAAACAAGCAAAACTGGGGGCACCTGATAAATAAAACCTTCTCTCTCTCTCTCTCTCACACACACACACACACACACACACACACACACACACACACACACAAAAAAAAAAAAAAAAAAAAAAAAAAACACTGCCTTCAGCTCAGAGCATGATCCCGGAGTCCGGGGATCGAGTCCCACATTGGGCTCTCTGCATGGGACCTATTTCTCTGTCTCTCTCTCTCTCTCTCCCCCCCCCTGACTCTCATGAATGAATGAATGAATGAATGAATAAATAAGTAAGTAAATAAATAAATAAAATCTTTAAAAAACAAAAACAAACCTGGGGGCACCCGGGTGGCTCAGCATCTGCCTCTGGTTCAGGACGTGACCCAAGGTCCTGGGATTGAGCCCCACATTGAGCTCCCCGCAGGGAGCCTGCTTCTCCATCTCTCTCTCTCTCTCTCTCTCTCTCTCTCATAAATAAATAAATAAATAAATAAATAAATAAATAAATAAATAAATAAAATCTTTAAAAAAAACAAAAACAAAAACTGTCTCCCAACTTTGGGAATGGGCTCATTTTCCAGAAAGGAAAAGAAAGAATTACCAGGGATTCCTGGTCCACGTCAGGCACAAAACTGGAGCCTGGCCGCTTTCAGATCTCCCACCTGACTGCTGCTCACACCAACCCCAGGAGAGTCAGGACTGTCCCTGTGATCCGGCGGGTTTCTCAGAACCCACCTCCTACGGTCTGTCTCCGCTCACCTGTTTTCCTTCCAAGTACCCGCACCGCTGGCCTTCCCACGGTCACTCCCCTCCCCCGGGCCCCCCAAGAACCGCAGCACCCCGAGAGCGTGCGGGAGGCGGCAAACCTCTGACGAAGGAACGAAAGCCGGGAGAGGCTGCTACAGTGGCCATGAGGAGGACGGAAGCAAGAGGACTAGAGGCAACTTCCGCCCGAACCGGCCGCCCCAGAGGACGAGCGCTGACACCTGCGTCGCACACCTGCGGGGCACCCGTGCTGGGCACACCCGCGCCCTCCGCTGCCGGCCCCCGGTGAGGCCCTACCTGGTACTGGGACAAGGAGGGCTCGTCGCCCGCGCCGCCCAGGCCTCGCAGGCGGACCACCAGGAAGGCGCTGCCGTCGCCGTCCCACAGGAAGAGATCGCCGCCCAGGCCCAAGACAAGGTTCCTCGTCAGCGGCGGCGGCGACGAGGGCGACGGCGAAGACGCCGGCTTCTCAGCCTCGGCCGGGCCGTGGGTCTTCAGCCCCTCGCGGAGCCGCAGGAACACGACGTGGTTGGGAAGCCAGGACTGCCACGGCTCCCCGTCACCCGTGGGCCCTTCGGCGGCTGCCATATTGGCCCCACTGCGCGCGTCCCCCCAGTGACAACGCGCGCCGCGGGGCACAGCCAATCGGCGGCCGGCGGGCCGCGCTCGGCCAATCAGCGAGCGGAACGCCCGGACGCACGCGGCCCGGGAGGGGAGGGCCGCCAATCAGGCGGGGGCAGCGCTGCGGGAAGGCCAGCCCTCGGGGCGCAGCCGGAGACCTGCGTCTCTGATTGCCGCTCGGACACTAGTCTAAGCCTAGACGCACCTCCCTTAGTCCAGGTTGGGTTGACCTCACAAATGCCACCGCGGCCACGCATCCTCGGGGTCGCCCCAGTCCGTCTCCGTGCGGGGCTGGCAGGTGGGACGGCCGTTCCCAGAAGCCCGCAAACTACAATTCCCAGGGTCCTGCGCTCCCTCGGGGGGCGCGGCTTCCTGGCGGCGACGCTTGCAGAGAGATGGCCGAGGCGCCGGGCTCCGGGCGCCGCTCGCTGTACAAGGCGGTGGGCTCGCCGCGGTGGAAGGACGCCTTCCGGCAGGTGGGCGTGGGCTCCGGGGAGCCTTGGCTGGGCCGCCGTCACTGCCCTGATCCGCCCGGGCAGCCGCCGTGCCGCGGGCCGGAGAGGCAGGTGCCGGAGCGCCGGGCCCAGCGGACCGGGAGCGGGACCGGGCGGGGACCGGGATGAGCTGGGCTGGACCTGCACCGGGCCGGGCGCCCCCGGAACCTCTGGGCTCTGCGTGCGGGGCCCCACACGCCGCGAGTGCACCTGTGCGCCCCGGCACCACCCGCTGGGGGGCGGGGTTGAGGGAGGGGCGCTGGGCGGGGCGTTGGGGGGAGTGTACGGGGGGCGGTGCTGGGGGGGCGACGCTGGGCTTCCACAGAGGAAATGCTTCTCTCTCTGCCCCCTGCCCCCCCAGCGTCTCAGTACCAGATCATGACCTGAGCCGAAGGCAGATGCTTCACCGACAGAGCCACCCAGGCACCTCTAAGAATTTTTATTATTATCTTTTAGCCAACTCACTTCCGTCTTTCTCCCTCCCAGGGATGCCTGGAGAGAATGAGAAACAGTCGGGACAGGCTGCTGAACAGATACCGCCAGGCTGGAGGCAGTGTGCCGAGGAGAGCTCAGAGCACCCTTCTGGTGCAAGAAGTGATGGAAGAAGAGTGGCATGCTCTGCAGTCCATGGAGCGCTGCCCAGAGGCCTTGAGTCAGGTCAGGCTGGGATCCGTGTTTCCGGGAGGGCGCTACAGCACCAGCAGTGCTCAGGGTCCTCTCTGTACCTCTCTCCTCATCCTCCGAACCCACCCACCCTCCAGCGTCCAGTCAGGATTCCAACCACCTTTGATGCAGGCTCTTTGACCTTTAAAGTTACACTCTTCTAGGGGCAGCCCAGGTGGCTCAGCGGTTTAGCGCTGCCTTCAGCCCAGGGTGTGATCCTGGAGACCCAGGATCGAGTCCCACGTCAGGCTCCCTGCATGGGGCCTGCTTCTCCCTCTGCCTGTGTCTCTGCCTCTCTCTCTGTGTCACTCATGAATAAATAAATTTTTTAAAAATTTAAAAAAATAAAGTTACACTCTTCTAGATTCACGGTTTGTCCACACCAGACTACCAACCTGCTGCATCACCATGTCTCATGAAACCAAAAATAAAGACGTTTTGCCCACTCCTAGGCTCCCCACCCTGAAAGTTTTGATTCCACAGGCATGGGCTAACAGTCTCTTGAGGGAGCCCAGTGGCTTTGCTTTCTGATTTTAACCTCAGCCAGCGTCGGGGGCTGGGTGTGGATAGGAAACCGTTTACCGTGCGCCAGGAAAAGCACCAGCTTGGAATTCCGTAGTTGTGGAATTCTGACCCTGGTTTCGCTCTGGACTCTTTAACTGTCCTGAGCCTCTGAGCTTTGCTTTCATGTCTGTAAGGCAGTGAAGAGAACATTGTCAGCGTTGTGAGGACAGTCTAAGAAAACATCAGCAAACTGCCCTGAAAACATCGGAGTGTCTCATGAGGATGTGTTATCAGGTGTCCCCAGGTGTCCTCGGACGTGCCACACGTCTGAGTCGTTGAATCCCAATTCCTCAAGCCAGCCTCCCAGGCATGAGTCATCATGGGGCTTGCTGCCTGGTCATGACTGCAAACCTCGGATCAGCCCGCTTTCTCTTGCAGCTGGAGGAGCTGATGGACCTGGCTGTGCTCGAGGAGATCCAGCAGGAGCTGGCTGACCAAGGTGACCTCTGGGAGAGTCCTTCTACCTGTGTCTAGCTGCCTGAGTGCTGACCGCTTTCAGAGCAGAATTAGTTCTCCACGGCCCTGCCTCCACTTGTGACATCAGGCTGCTGTCAGAAGTCTGCTTTTACTCTGACACCGTGGCTGGCTGGCTTCTGGCCTGGTGCCCAGACTCCTCGTTCCACTGTGCAGCTAGTGGTGGGGGCTGGGTGTGGCGAGGCCAGGTCCTGTGTGTGCTCGGTCCTCCCGTTAGTCTCTACCGATAGATGAATACTTGTCCTGTCGCCTTACAAGACGCAGTCGTGACCGGAGCTCTCATGTCACCTCATTCAAGTGCCTTCTCTCCAACACGGTTTTGTGTTTTTTGTTTGTTTGTTTGTTTTTTTGTTTTTTGATCTCCCCTACCTGTTCCCTGTAATTCCAATCTTGCAGCGGAATTTAGGACTCTAGGTTCTTCTGCGGAGCCTTTAGCTAACAAGTGTGCAGTGGTGATGATGTACGTATTCGGCGGTCATTAGGAACACTCTAGAGCAGGGACCGGCAGACTTTCTGTGATGCTCCAGAGAGTAAATATCTGAGGCCTTGTGGTCACACGGTCCCTGCAGCAATGATTCAGTCCTTGGGTGCTGTGAAAACAGCCATGGACCTGATAAGCATAGCTGGGTCCCAATAGGACTTTATTTGAAAGACCGAAGCAGGACTAGAGTGGGCTGCAGCCTGCCTGGCTCACTCTGCTGGGATGTATGGACCGTGAGCTCATTGGGCTCCTTCCTGCTGCATACTTGGTGTTGTGGTGTGTTTGCCGTGTGGACGAACACAGATTGTGAACAATGCAGACTGAAAATGTGGATGTTGGAGGCTGGAAGTTAGTGCCCAGCCAGCATCCGCTCTCTTACCTACGGCTCTGCTCCTGCAGCCTCCGGGGATGCTCCTGGGCCTTGTTACCTTGTCCCCCAGCTCTGCACCTGCAGCTTGTGCTCACACGCAGGACAGGCAGGGGGAGGGAGGCTGGCTGCATGGTAAATAGTGTGCGGTGGGTGGCATGGTCCGGAGCGTTGTCGGGTGTAGGTGAGGCTTGGCGGATAGGCGGGTGGCCGGGGAGAGTGCCATGAGTGCCACAGCTGCACTTTCCCCACAGAACGGTCCATCCTCACTGAGTATGAGCAGAGCCTGCAGTTCGATGAAGAGTGTCTGCGTGTCATGCTGGCCGAGTGGGAGGCAAACGCTCTCGTGTGTCCCGTGTGCACAAAGTGAGTTCTCAAACCCTTGGGCATTCTGGGACCCCCCCCACTCCAAGGTGAGTGGCACCTCCCCCGGAAAATGGGTCATCTGGAAAGGTTTGGGGTCCGGTATGCTGGCCCCAGTGCTCTGTGATCCCCACTCTGCTTCCAGGTACAATCTGAGGGTATCAGGTGGCGTGGCCATGTGTCCGTGTGGCCTCTACCTCTCTTCCCAGGTGAGTGTTCCCCTCCTCCGCACGAATCTGCCTTCCTGAACCCTTGCCACCCTGCTGGAGCCAATGGTGCTCCTCCTGGCGGCACAGTCAGGCCCCCGGGGAGCTGGAACCAGCTGTGGTGCCCACATCCCCGCTGGCCTGGCCCTTGGCCGCCCACTGATGGGTGTGCCGGGGCCCGTGAGCCCTGGGAACATGGTACTGGGCCTTTTGCAAGCGTTCTGTGCACCTGAGGACACAACCGTGTTCAGAGAGTAGGCTTCAGGGGCCGTGAAATACGGAAGGTGCCTCTTCACCGCCATGATGGGGCTGGAGGTTTGCTGGCTGGCTTCAGGTGGAAAGTGGGGAAAAGGAACCGCTCACAGCAGGGCTCAGACATGCCGATGTCTGCCAGGCCCCAGGAGCACGGAGGCCTTCCCACCAGCTCCTCTGAGAAGGCCTGGCCTGTGTTCCCAGGGCTGTTTCTGGAAAGTGTGCCCGGAAGCTAAGTGCACATCCAGGATTTTGCTCTCTCCATCTTTCATGTAACTCAACAGCTTTTTTTTTTTTTTAAACAATTTATCTTTTTGAGTGTTTCCTAAACATTCCATTTCCTATTGTTTAAAAACAAAACAAAACATAACACTTTGTTTTTTTTCCCTCTTCCTTGATTGGGGCCCAGAACATATATGGAATGGCCCAGGTTGCCAGCTCCCAGAGGCAGAGGTGCCAGGGCGTCAGCAAGCCCGGTGGCCCCGTGCCCTCCTGGTCCCCCACAGGGGTGTGGGGAATCGGGGTTCTCAGCTGTACCTGGGAGGCGACTGGGATCAGGTGGCCGTCTCATGCTTCCCTTGCAGTCTCCAGAACTGACTGAGCAGACGCTTCGTGGCTGCTTGGAGCGCAGCGTGAATGAGCACAGCACACACTGTCCCCACACGCCTGAGTTTTTGGTCACAGATGGGACAGAAGAAAATTCCAGTCTCCTCATGAGCTGCGTGGTGAGTCCCCCTGGGATCCAGTGTAGGGGCCACTCAGTCGTGGCTTCATTCCCACGTTGGCGGAAATCATGCTCAGAAACAGGCAGAGATTTAAAAATGCAGTTTATTCTCTAAGTTTTGCTTAGGGATGTGGAGGTAATGTGCTTGAGCTCAGAGGTGGCCGTCACCTGGAGGGTAGGACATGGGGACCCCTGGGCAGGGCTGTGCTCCGACTCGGGTGTCACACCCCTGAGACCCAGACGGGCCATCCTGGAGCCAGTTTGGCAGGAGGATGCAGGACAGCATCAGGTCACTGAGGATGCCGGGCCCACAGCTCCCCAAAGGTGGGTGGTGGGGCGGGAGGCAGCAGGGTCACCCGAGTGCCGCAGGCTCCCAGGTGGCGGCCCGAGGTGGGTCCGGATGTGGGCCCCACTGCTGGGGACACAGCCCACTCCTGTGGGCCAGGGGTGGTGCCCTCTGCCATCTGCTGCTGGACCATG